TCTCACTTTGAACTTGACATTTATCTATGATTATAATCACAAACAATTTAGTTCTAATTGCATTTCATACTACTATTATTATTATTTTATGCATTCACTCAGACCTATGATTCAATTCCCTCCCTCACCGGATATAACTTCTTAAAAACCATATGTGTATATACGATTGTCCAGCTTGATGATAAATTCGTTGTTGAAAAGAGTCTCTTCGCTGACTGAATCACCACTTGTTTTGATTTTCTATATATAATATTCTCATTTAGAAAATCAAAACAAATGATGAGTCGGGTACGTAGTGATTTGGGTAATTTACTTTTTGCCTTGTAGATGACTTTAAAGGCGGAGGCTATAGAGATAACTGGGTGATCATTATCGCAAGGAGATGTTCAATGAATGCGCTTCTCATTGCTCCATTTCCACCTCTTCGTAACTAACATGCAGGGGATAGTGTTCTTGCACCCTGTTGGACAGAAATCGCGTCGAACGACCGATGTACCTAACTCCACATGAGCAGGTGAATTGACAAACACGCATAGAGTTGGTCAACAGCGGGATCTTGTCCTTCAGGTTACTGAACAGTAATGGTCGACTAGTAAAGGCTATTTATTCTCAGAGATGCAGCAGGGAATGTTAATTTCAGGGACCGTGATATCCTTCGTTTCATGGTGATATCGGAAGCTAAGAGGCCCCTTTGAATTCCAAGCTCATGTAAAGTATTTTCTTGGGTACGGTTGATAAGTCACGTTTCATCGGATTTGAATGTATATTCTTGTCTGTAAAACGTGGTGGAAATCCATTTTCTATTAGGATTTTCCTCAAAAGATATAACTGATCTTCCACAGTATCAGGGCTACATATTCGCCAAGTGCGAGTGACAAGCGACCGGATCAGGTTAGATCCTTTAAAGCTGATTAGTGTTTATTAGATAGGATTTCAGATTGTTTGGATGGTGAATGTATGCAGTGATCGACAATATCTACTAGTTTGCATCTTAATTGGCATTATGCTTCTTCATTTATTGATTTTAATTCCGTTATGGGTTGACTATATGGGTTATCGAACTGGCTTTCATAATCGATTTTATCATATTTTATTGGCATATGAAATTGAAAAACACATTGACAGTGTATTTACATTGGACACTAGTCAGTAACTAGTGTCCCACGTGTCTAGTCCTTGCGTTGTTTGGTGCAGACTGAATTCTATCAGTCAGTCAGTCAGGTTTGCAATGTGGCCACCATGCCATTAGATGGCTAGCTCACCATCCCGATGCACACATTGATTTGATGATATTACATAGTTAGAGGCAATCGTCCAGAGGAAGGCTTACACCTAGGTTTCGTGATAGTTGGCACTCACCGGTCAGTCAGTCAGTCAGAAGGCGTATCTGCAACCACATAGAAAGAACAGCCCATGTCCCCCCCCCTTCTGAGGAGATTCGAACCCGTGTCACCCATTGCCGCCTGCAGTCAGAGACGTTACCACTGAGCCAGCTCTTTGGGCTGGCTCGCAATTGACCTCCTGTAGGACTGTAGTGGGTATTTTCATTGGACGACACTAGTCAGTAACTAATGTGACATTGACAGTGACAGTGTCTCTAATTCACTTTCGCTTAGATGTAGCTTCAACAGATTATGAAAAATAATAATGTCGGTATTTTCTAGAACACCGAACACCAAAGAATGACTGATCTTTCACGACACTCTTTTAAAGAGATTTTTAGAAATAATAATTACAATCGTTTCGGATTGAATGTTAGTTATGCATGCAGTTGGTAAATTTGATTCTGTCTGCATAATAAAATTTAATTATATTGAATTATCTTTCCAAAGCTGTTGACTTCTGTTCTCAGTCACTGAGAAAAATTTGTTTTGGTAGAGTATATTCGAGATTTTGTAACGCGTCGAAAATTCTTCTAAAGAAGGCAGCAGTTCACATGAACACAAAAACAACACAACAAACAATTGACACGGAAAGCAGAAAACTGTCACCAAACTACTGGTTGTTAGGCATCGTTCTAACTAACATCTATTAATCTATCACCTATGTTTTCTATGATTTTATCTGTACTACTGACTATTCATAAGTAGCTCAGCTTTTTAACCATAAAAAACTGCTGTCTGTGAAATTGTCTCACCTTTAGTATCTCAACCGTCTATATTCTTCTCATACTATGATAAAATTTTCACCTGCTACATAGGCTTTCTGAATGTCCCAATCTCTCCTCAATCTTATTTGTTCTAATCCCTTTCCTCTTAGTCTGCATATTCTTGAGTCCTTGGATCAGTTTAACCAGATCTCAGGTGTTGAAAGTGCTTAATACTCCAGCTTTCTATAATGCTTCACGAGTGGGGATTCGCTAGTTTAAAACAGTCAGTTCCCATTATGCATTTAAATAAAGCCATAAGAAGACGTAATTTGTCTGAATCGCGTGATGTAATTGCGCAACACATTCCGAACAATATGATCCATCACACACACACACGGACTTGTCATAGGAATGTCATACATATGTGGAAATAATAAAGAGAGTTAAGAGGTGGGTGAGAAAATAGACCTAGATCAAGTTAAAAGGAGAACGTATTGAAGGTGAAAATAACAATGAATATGAATGACTAAACCAAATAACAAAGGTAATAGTACATCTGCCCTGGCTGGTATCAAAACAAAACATAATTTACCAAGGAAGGTTTAATGTGATGATGAATTCCCGCTTTGAACGCATAAGTGCCAGCTAGGGCTAGCTTCCACAAACTTTAGGATACGCCCTCTCCCAAACAGGTTCTATAAGTAGGCCTTTAAAAGACGTGTAAACATCAATTTTATGTCCTGTTTCCTCTGTAATATGTTTCGCGATAGAGGAGCTAGGTCTTCATCTGTTCTCACCATTAATATGTTCTGAAGATTCCATTTGTTTCTGCGGCCATTTAGGAATATGCTCTGAAGCCAGTCCTTACTTGCAGAGATCGATGAGTCCTCACTTTGCATGTATGTGTGTGTGTGTGGCCACACGTACATTCAAATTGGTGAATACAGTGAGAGGATGTGACAGCATTTTCTGCATGTTGAAAGGGCTTAGATAGATGGATATATTGGCTTCACATTCTCAATAATTATGATATTGGCTGCATAAAAAGTCTTTTAAACCACAACGGTGTTCAATCTTTGTCTAGTTATCAAGCCGCTATGATGTCCTACATGGGGCAGATTGATGTCCACGTCTTTCTTAGTGACGAGTTGTAGTGTGAGTGGGTTGTTGGTGTTCCGCTGACTACTTTATATCTCCTAATGAACTTGTCTGGATCATAGTTATCAACCAGAGTTTGTGTCAACTTTCTTTCTTCCTCATCATCAAGTGTGTCTGTCTTCAGTGTGCATATTCGCTGGATTCTACTGAGGAGGCATCTTACTAAATTCAGTTCATCCGAATTAAATGATCGTACTTTTTTATTCCATTAATGAAGAGACGCTGTTGTCCTGAATTCTCTGACACTGCTGAAGCATCGGCATATAGAACTTATATTTCACATTAGCCGAATCCTTTCCCTTCAGTGAACCTTGCACTTTTTCTTGTTTACACTTAATCAAATTTTACATGCATTTGTGCATTTTTGGCAATTTAGACAAGAAAAGTGCTTACTGTTTGAATACTTGGTGCTTTTTTTGTTTGAACATGATATCAGAGTATTGGAAAAATCTAGTATTTTTTGGTGACAAGGAACTACTTCAAGTTAGTAAGGTGACTGCGACCTTGAAGAATGTCTTTATCAAATGCTAAACAAGACTTTCCCACTAACAAACTAGCAAATAAGAAGGCGTAATTTGTTTCAGTCGTGTAATGTATTTGCGCAACACATTGAGAATTTATCGGAGGATTTAATCGAAAATGTGCCACTTTATAGAGGGTATGTAGATGACATTATAATCATCAGTGATAAGTCTTGTTCTGCCACCTCAATTTTAAATCGAATGAATAAAGTTCGGAATAGCATATCACCTACATCTGTAGAAGAGGAAGATAATTGCCTATTTTTCCTACACATATTGTTTAGTTGACGGCTTGTTGAGTATGTCCTCCTTTTAACTTGACCTAAGTAGTCAAGTAGTCTATTTTCTCACCCACCTCTTAACTCTCTTTATTATTTCCACATATGTATGACATTCCTATGACAAGTCCTGTGTGTGTGTGTGTGTGATGGATCAGATTGTTCGAAATGTGTGTTGCACGCAAATATGCACATTACACAATACACGATTCAGACAGACAAATTACGTCTTCTTATTGCCTTATCAAAATTCAGATAGTAAGCTGGACGTGTCTAGTCGACTCTAGTCGAAGTAGAGGATATACTGGTTTCGGTCTTGGCAGAGGGAGAGATGCCATAAGTGGGATAAAATGTTCATTGCGAATTTTCTTTTTACTAGTAAGCAGTAAAAAGTTTAATGAGTGTTACAGTGATGTTGGCTGGCTGGATTCAACATAGAACGAGGCACCGAAGTGCAGCAGTTCCAGTTGCCACGTTCCAAAGAGCACACAAAGGTAGACAAGAAGGTGGATGAGTGAAGAGAATCAATCAATAGAGTTTTGACAAGTATAAGAGTGAAACAGAACGAGTAATGGTAGAAAGGAATATGAAAGATTACACAAGAGACTGAATACATCTGCGTAAGCCATTGACAACGATTTTGAGCCATGTCACACCTATTGTCTGTCTCCAGCCATTGATTCTTAGAGTCCCGAGGGCGGGCCCCAACTAACAGGAAGTCTGCATCTCCCTACCTGACTCACTTTAACTGTCAGGGATTTCATGGATTGATGAGGCCATGTTTTGTTTGGCATGGCACCACTTACTCTTTTCCAACCTGCACCTATATCAGCTAGTAATGCCCGTCGAGGTGGGGGAGGCGATGGCTAGGCATGCGCAGCACGGTTACAGTGATGTGCAAAAACCAAAAAAAACAAAAACAATACCTAAATAAATCAAATAGGTGCAAATTACCTGTACTTTCGAAACCTTTACGAATGAACCATTGAGTGACTCGTCCATCACTTGACACAGACACGAGAACTTCTGACAAGATTTCAGCACGACCGGATTCTCTAACGATCCATTGGAGTTTTCGAATAGGTCCCAAGTGTCTTCCTATGGCGTGCCTGTAGATTATGTAAAAAAAATAATCTAAGTTTTATGTAAGAAAAGGACTAATCTTGCAAGTGCTTCCCCTCTTTAAACTTTCATCTCCTGGTTTTTGAAATTATTCAACTTTAGTTAACAGCATTTATTTATTTAACGTTTCATGAAACATATCAACCTGATGTAAAAGCTTGCCATGAAATTTCTGTGGAAAGTTTGTACTACTTATAAGTAAAAGGAATGATGAAAGTAAAAAGTGCGTAATTCCATATTAGTTTGTTTATTAGATGATATATCACACAGTCAGTGAAACAGTATTAGTATTTACTGGATGACAAAGTTGTTTCGAACACAATTCATCATTATTGCTGTTCATAATCATACACATCACCAATTATAATCACACGACTTTGAAACTTGAGTCTGATAGTTTTCTTTGTTCTCTCCTATTTGTCGTCGTTGGGGTAGTAGAATTTTCCAGATGTCCAGCTGGACAGGTGTTGAATCATTCCTATTACACGTGTTGATTTACAGTTGATTCGATAAACAAAGCTTCCATTATCAATCTTCCCCAATTGCCACCCTGTTAGTTGTATTAGATTTTAAAACTGTCATCTTATCCCATCCAGCCTATTGTATTTTGGGTGTGTGTAATTGCATGTAGTGCTTGCGACAGCTGCTGAACTATTCTCTAGATTTCTTACCTAATTCGGGTTAACTAATCTAGATTTTGCTGCTAGGTGTTTATGCTGCTCGGCTAGTCTGTCTCACTGACTGCTCCTGTTCTACTACTTTGACCTGTGTATTTGACCTGACAATCATCGCAGCAGCAGGGTATTAGATAAACTAAATTGTTTTGCTTTGAAGGCTCCACAGGATTGATCCTTTAACCGACAAAGCATGTTTCAAATTGAGTTTGTGGTTGGTTTGAATTCCAGCCACTTTTATTCGTGTCTGCCCTGTTAAGAATTCTCCGCTGTAAGGTGATTTTCTAGTTTCTTTCCTTGTATGGAATTACTACTGGTGATTTAGATGGGATAATCAGCAATCCAAATATCTGTTTGAATGTGTGGGTTTCCTGTAAACACTGATGTGTTTAACTTCCCATCTTGCACTAATTATAAGTAAAAAGCAACATAAAATTAAATAGTGCGTAATATTGATCCTCAGAAAGGTGCAATTTCAATTTCCACTCAGTACTTTGTTAACTATACTTATTCACACAGTTTAATTTGCAATAATCTGTGAATGTGTCAGTGAAATTTTCAAATCAAGGTGTACAGCCACCTTGACTGTGGAACAGCAGTCGCCTGTTTCACATGTACTAGTGACCTAATTGTGATTACAACTCTGCACCAAAAATCCAAGTACTCAACTTTCCTTTCACATATTCTAGTTCTAGTAGAAGCTTGGGAGAAGGAAACAATTGAAAACAGGTGTTTACGTGATGAAGTAAAAAGGAGACAGCCGAGATTCGACAAATTTTAGTTTCAAACTCAAATCATATTGTGTGTACAACACCTTGAAGTAGTTATTCAGGCATGATTGGTGATGTGAATTTATTTGAATGAGCAACAGTTAGTCTCTGGGATGGGGTTTGTATTATTACTATTATTATTCATATTATTATTATTTCCTTTAATTCCTAGAGGAACATAGGGCTTCAGCCAAACGTCTCCATTGCGTTCGCTTCTCTGCTATATTTTTCACCTGGCCCCAAGTCTGCCCACATGCTTTCATCTCCTCTTCATATGACCTCCTCCAAGTCAACCTCACCCTTGCACTGACGACCAACTCACCACTTCCCTTTCGTGTTCCACTCGAGCAATGGCTTGTCTAGTGATGTCACTCACTTGATGGTTTGTTTCCTCAGAGTATGGCCAATCCAATCCACCTCCTCCATTTCTTCCTGCTAATTTCTTGCACAATCGGTTCCTGCTGGGTTGGTTCGCTCATTGACAGAGATCCCTCCCTGTTGCTGTTCTCTTCTGGCCGACTGGCCATCTGACCTTGAGTATTACTGAGTGAAGACAGTTGTTGATCAAGGTCTGTGTTTTGTTTGAAGTGCTCTTTATGACACGCAGTGCAACTGTCTGATCCGTATAGCAAGTGGCACTGACTGACTTCACATTGGAGTTGAAAATCCGGATATTCTTTTCATTTTCATGCTGAGTAGGGCTGTTTACCACACAGACTTGAGAGTAATGGAAGCTTGTCTTGCCTTCCCGATCCTTGCTCTGATATCCTAGTCAGTTCCTTCCGCCTGTAGTTGAAACGATGCTTCCCAGGTAGGTAGGTAGGTAAAGGAGGTTGTTTCTTTCAGGTTCCTCCCATTTATGCTGATTGTTGTCTGTTGCAGTTGGTGTTGGTGTTGCTGCTTTTGGCCAAGAATCTTCATCGTCTACCTCTGTTTTTTCTATGTTCACCTATCTTTGATGCTTCTTCGGCCAACTTGTTGCTGCTTTTCACTTGTATATCTTCCAGTTTGTGGGAAATCAGACATATATATTCGGCTAAGTCCACATCCTGCAAGTTTTTTGTGAAGGTCCATTTTATTCCTGTTTCCTCGCTGCCCGTCGCTTTCTGTCGCATTATCCAATCTCCCGCAATCAGGAAAATCACTAGAAACAGTAGACAGCCAGCCAGCCAGCCTTGTCTTACTCCCGTCTTCACTTCTTCGAAGGATTCCATAAGTTTCCGTTGTGGATTACTTTGAATGCAGCGTTGTCATACAACTGTTAGATGAGATGTATAATTGTCGGCGGCACCCTGTGGTAGTAGCGAAGTAGTTTCCAAATCACCTCTCGATCGACCCTGTCGAAAGCCTTTTCAAATTCGATGAAGTTGAGCGAGGTAGAGAGCTGACTGCCATTCCAAGAAAGCTTTGTTCAATGATGATCCGTAGTGTGGCGACTTGATCAATACATGACTTGTTTCTCCTGAATCCTGCCTGTTCCGGTCGAAGTTTTTCATCCAGGTCGGCGTGTTTGATTCTCTCCAGGATGATGCGGCTCATTGTTTTGCTTGGAATGGGGTTTGTACATACAATAGAATTCGTCATTTGTAGATTGCACATGCACAGTGGTGAAATTTCACCATAATTTGTTTAAGAGGTCCAGAATATCCAAATAATCCAAATGTGTGAGTGACCTGGATAGCATAAATATCGTATGTGAAAAGTTGGAAACTGTTATCGGTTGTTAGGTAGATGAAATCGATTTAAGCACTGAGCGGTAATTTCGCTCATTCCGGGAAGACAGTGTTAAAGGTATAACTGAAGTTAGGCGGCTCCCAGCTAGTCGTATCAATCAGTCGTTTAATTAAATTTCACTGGTTTACACACAATGATAAGTAGTTTTGTTATTGGTAATATTTCGAGCAAATTTACTCCCCGTGTTCACACCACTGTTGGAATTGTTTTGTTTTTTAATTCACACACAAATTTATGATTTGTACTCATATATGTATAGTTGATTGATTGATTGATTTTTATGCATTGAGAATTATATTACTGCAGGTTGTTGACACTTGTTGTGGTGCTGAGGAGTCGGTCAGTAGTCAGCCTTGTTACATGTTGTATCCGGTGTGACGTTAATGAATATAGAATAGATTGTGTTATTAGCAGTCTGTCTGTCTGTCTGTTTGTCTCTCTTTCGATTTGTTGATGTATTAGTTTTTAGAATAGAAAGATTGTTCGAATGGATATTGTGGTTTGTTGTCGGATGCATGTATGTGCAGGTCAGGTATAGATGAATTTTGTTTGTAAATTCTTGTAAGCTTGTGTTCCTTCCTGTTGGGGTGGGGTGGGGTTGGCCTTCAATCGTTAGGCAGACGTGTTTATGTTGATTGACTCACTGTGTATTTTGAGTGATGTGGACTTGTTTGAGCCAGATATTTAGTTGGACAGTCAGTGAGTCGTCACAAGATATTTTGTAAATCATCACATTGTTTTTATGCATCATTATTTTTGTGAGATGTTTGAGTTGATTTATTTCTCAATTTTCAATTAGATTGATTCGTGGGTTGGGTTTGGTTTAAAGGTTGTGTGTGTGAATGGGAATATTTTTGGTGTTTGTTCGAATTGGCTGTGATGTGATGTAGCATTTTTGTGTATGGTATTGTGACTGTGTTGTTTGCATTCTCAATGCATCTATTTGTCATTCTCTGGTTTTAGCCTCCTCTTCTCTCTGACAAAATTTATCAACCGATAAGAAAGAATAGTCACACACAAAGGGTCAAAGTTCAAGTCAAAGAAACAATGAGTGACAATACAAGTAACCTAGAAGGTGTGAAAACACACAAAGGGTCAACCAATCACGTCCAAGGTCGCCGACCAGGAGAGATGATTAATAAACTCACTCGTGGAGAAATCTAAAAGCTCACTTCAATCAAATTGAAGTATGCGCTGAAGATGTCACCTGCCTAGTAGGGTGATGAAAGCTTCGCAAATTAACTACTTTCCAGCTGGCTCAGAGAAAACACAACCACATCAAAATTTTTGATTTGTTTCTTCTTCTTCATAGGTGGTGTGGTAGTTTGTTTGTTTGTTGTGGTTTTTGTGCAACTTCTAGTGTGTTTGCTTTGATACTCTTTCCTTTCTCAAGTTTTTTCTTTTACTTGATTAATAATATCTTTCCCGTAATTGTAAATAACTTTCGTATAATACAATGTACAATAGCATGTAGGTATGTGTTTTGTTTGACGCATATTTTTGAGGGATGTGTGAGTGAGTAAGAGAGTGAGTGAGTGAGTGAGTGAGTGAGTGAGTGAGTGAGTGAGTGAGTGAGTGAGTGAGTGAGGGGTGGATTTGCTCTATCAATCAGTATGTATATTAGATATAAGCGTCCTAACCGCTATGCCACCGACGCACACAATGATAAGTAGTTTTGTTATTGGTAATATTTATTCGAGGAAAATGACTGACTGGCCGTGTGTGTGTATGTTCACATCACTGTTGGAATTGTTTTGTTTTTTAATTCATACACAATTATTATTTGTACTCATATATATATATATATATATATATATATAGTTGATGATGAAGATGAAGATTCCTGGGCAATACCAACTGCAACAACAACAGACAGCAATCAGCCAGCATAAATGGCAGGAATCTGAAAGAAACAACCTCCTTTACCTACCCATTTACCTGGGAAGCATCGTTTCAACTACAGGCGGACGGGAACTGACGAGGATATCAAAGCAGCGAGGATCGGGGAAGCAAGACGAGCCTTCATTACTCTCAAGTCTGTGTGGAGGTCAACAGCACTACTCAGCATCCAGCATGAAAATGAAAATAAGATCGGGTTTCTCAACTCCAATATGAAGTCAGTCAGTGCCACTTGCTATACGGATCAGACACTTGCACTACGCGTCATAAACAGCGCCTCAAACAAACTATCGACCTTCATCAACATCTGTCTTCGCTCAACACTGCTCAGGATCAGTTGGCCAGAAAAGATCAGCACCAGGGATCTCTGGCAATGAGCGAACCAACACAACAGGAACCGATTGTGTAACAAATAGGCAGGAAGAAATGGAGGTGGATTGGATTGTGGCCATACTCTGAGGAAACAAACCATCAAGTGAGTGACATCACTAGACAAGTCATTGCTCGACTGGAACCCGAATGGGAAGTGGCGACTTTGTCGTCAGTGCAAGGGTGACTTGGAGGAGGTCATGTGAAGAGGAGATGAAAGCATGTGGGCAGACTTGGAGCCAGGTGAAGACTCTAGCAGAGAACCGAACGCAATGGAAACGTTTGGTTGAAGCCCTATGTTCCTCTAGGAATTAAAGGAAACAATAATAATAATTAATTCACACACAATTATGATTTGTACTCATATGTATAGTTCATATTTGGTTCATCGATTTTTCTGCATTGAGAAGTTAGGGGGCTCCCAGCTAGTCATAGTATATGTAGAATCTTGAAGTCTCTCCTACTTTCTTGATTTCATTTATGTCGTCAAACGCGTCGTAGATGTGCTGGTGATGTACATATTTTGGGTATTTTTTTTTAGAAGAAACCGCGACGAAGACACTGAGTCTCACATCATTTCACTGATGATCCTATACAATTCATTACATGACATTAAATTGCGTATTTCATTTTTAAATAAAAGAATTATGAGGGAGAAATTCAGAAAACAAAATACAGCCAAGTTAAACTTTAAGCACCACTAACCACTGCCAATAATGGAGTACGACCACACCAATGACCTTGAAACGCTCACTAAGCAAGTTAGTGAAACCTGGTAAATAAATAATGTTGTCATCATCAATAAAATATGCTCATCGAAGTGTCTTATGGTATTAAATGGGATATCTGGCAAGTTACGGCTTAGGTGTTTGGGAAAGATTAAGTTACGCTTTGAGCGAAGGACAAGTTAGGGTTAGGTTAACTAACCCCCAATACAGGCGACATTAGGGTGTTGGTTCGAGTTAGATTACAGTTAGTTAGTTTAGGGATATTTTGACGTTAAGGTTATGTTCAGGAATGATAAGGGTTATTGTTAGGATTAGAAGACCTAAATAATTGATTACATGCATAGAATGTGATTAAATTACTCTGTTGATATAAGAATAGAACTTGTGCACTGTGGTGGTAGAGTATAATTCCCCATTGTGGGTAAAATTTATTTTGATTAAGTCTCACAGAGTTGTTATACAGTAAGTAATATTTACTGATGACCACGTTTAGAGCACAGTTTATTGCCAGGTATCCTTTGTAACACTTTTCTACCGTTTTTATGCATGTTTTTCATAAATATATATGTATTCCATACATAAAAATGCCTCCTCTACGTGACTGGTGCGTTGTTCGAGGTCATTCGCTGATTGGTAGTTAGTTAGTGGTGCTTAAAGTTTAACTTTGCCAAAAGCAAAACAATTTTCATTCTTTGTTGTAGACAAAAATATGTATAAAACAAAGAAATACTCTTACGTTGTATCAACAACCGGGACTGGATCATTTTTGCGTACATCGTATACGTGGATTACACCGCTAAACATGCCCACCTGTAATTCAGTGAAGAAAATAGGGTTGGTCAGTAAATATAAACCCTGAAATTACCGATATAAGTATAAAACTTGGGCACTGTGTTGTGGTAGAGTATAACTCCATTATGGATAAGATTTTATTTTGATAAAGTGTCACACAGTGTGTGTAGTGTTATACAGTAATATTAACTGATGCGACCACACGCTTCGAGCACAATTTATTATTGCCACTCATAATCATCATGTCAAGTCACTCACTCACACAACCCATTTCCTTCATTTATATACATGTGTGGAATTGATGATTAGACATTTGAATACAAATCAGTAATATAGGATAATGTACATTCAGAAATAATAATAAGAGTGTTATTGAACAATTACAATAATCAGATGGGAAATAGGATGAGTGTTTCTTTTATAGTCATAATAAGTGAGTAACTTGTTAGAATGTTGTGATGTACGTGAATTGAATTGAAATAGAATACAGTTTAAGATCATTTATTATCCTCCTCTGATTTCACTGACTGACTGACTGACTGGTGGTAATAATATCTTCCATACATATCTCTGGTATTTGCATTGAGTCATTTCTGTTGAATATGTTCGGTGTAGGTAGACTCGATGAACCAGGCAGGATTCAGTAATAAACCTCTCTCTCCACCTACCTAGATTACTTCTTTCCATTATGGGTAAATTTTTATTTTGATAGAGTCTCACAGTGTTATACAGTAATGTTTACTGATGACGTTTCGAGCACAAACTATTGCTCATAATCATATCAAGTTACAGTAAACATTACTGTATAACACTGTGAGACTCTATCAAAATAAAAATTTACCCATAATGGAATTACACTATACCACAGTGCCCAAGTTTTATTCTTATAGATTACTTCTTAGAATAGTAACCCTCTCCCATCATGCTATTGTATGGTTGTGTGTTAATGCGTACAGTGCAATGTAGTGCTGATCTTTTTCATAAGTTACTTATCTTCTCGGGTGGGTCAACCATTCTTATCCTAGCTCAATTCTTATGTTCTTTGTTCAGTATCCATTCTTTTGACAAAATGCTTTGTGTAACCTGAGTGAATTCGTATATTATATATCATTCAGACAGATTTACTGTGTCCACAACTTTGTTGCCGAACAAAAGCGCGTGTGTAAGCTTTACTTTCTCTTTCAGAATGCTTCTCTGCAAGCTGTAGTGAACGTTCACATTGTTGAAGAACACTATTTATTCCATACATTCATTCTATCTTTGATTACACCAAACTTCTTTATTCCTCAAAAAGACTGTGAGGCAAGAAGTCGTCAACAGACTGAACAGGGGGGGGGGGGTTACACTAGTGAAATCCCTTCCAAACCTACTTTACAAGCCACAAGGATGACAAGACGGTTATAGTTTACAAAATCAACCTTAAAATTATTCAAAATACTGAGTGGTAATTTTCGTTGCTCAGAGGATCTATGGACAGCGAATACCAGTAAGAAGATACTATGCTTCATGTTCGATCTCAATAAGCAACTACCACTGGGAAAATATTGTTGTCTTATAATATAAATACTCAAAGAGAACAAGAGAATTTCTAGAAGAATGGCATACATGTGGTGAGAGCTCGCTGCTAGCCAAATTGGTATATAGTAAAACTACGTCAATGTTTATCTCCCCAATATTGGTCATGAGAAAACAAGGACAAGAACAAAGACTGACTGACTCAACAACCAATCACAGCACGCTTTGTTTGCGCAGGCGGATACAATTAGCAAATAGATAGATGATCTGACCTTCAAGAAACAGCCACAAAGAGGAACAACCAATCAGAAGACTGTGTTTGTCTGCTAACAATAATCAATAATAATAATAATGTACATGAAAATCGATAAATATGTCTTGATTTCGTAAATAAACGATCTGTTGACTTGCTCTTGTCTTCCATTGTTACGAGACTGCAATCAACAGACAAACAAACATCGACCAAGCTTACAGCCTGCTCAAGAAGCAAAACAATCACCTCCCAAATTCCATTTTAGTTTGTTTATTAGATGTACCACACAGTCAGCGAAACAGTATTAGTATTTACTGGATGACAAAGTTGTTTCGAACACAATTCATCATTATTGCTGTTCATAATCATACACATCACCAATTATAATCACACGACTTTGAAACTTCAGTCTGATAGTTTTCTTTGTTCTCTCCTATTTGTCGTCGTTGGGGTAGTAGAATTTTCCAGATGTCCAGCTGGACAGGTGTTGAACCACTCCTATCACAAGTGTTTTCAGTTGATTCGATAAACAAACCTTATGTAATCAATCTTCCTCACTCGCCACCCTGTTAGTTGTATTCGATTTTAAAACTGTCATCTTATCCCATACAGCCTACTGTATTTTGGGTGTGTGTAATTGCATGTAGTGCTTGCGATAGCTGCTGAACTATTCTCTAGATTTCTTATCTTATTCGGGACAACCAATCTAGATTTTGCCGCTAAGTGTTTATGCTGCTCGGCTAGTCTGACTCACTGACTAACCCTGTTCTACTACTTTAACCTACTATGTGTTTGACCTGACAATCACCGCAGGCCAGGGTATTAGATAAACTAAATTGTTCTGTTTCAAAGGCTCCATAGGATTGATCCTTTATCGACAAAGCATGTTTCTAATTGAGTTTGTGGTTGGTTTGAATGGCAGCCACTTCTATTCGTGTCTGCCTTGTTAAGAATTCTTCAAGGTTCTTTCTTTGTATGGAATTACTACTGTTGATTTAGATTCCTTATTGTTGGTGTTGTCATCATCCTGCGCATGTTTGACATGCATGTCGTCATTAATATTATTATTACTATTATTATTATCACTATCACTACTATCATTATTTATTTTATTTTTACATTTTCCTATATATTTCCTGACTAATTTATCAGAGTAATTATTAAGTTTCAAGGCTTCTCTCATATGCCTCACTTCCTGTCTTAGATTTTCCTTGGTACTACTTAGTTTTTATGCTCTATTGTCACTTAAACATTTCACCAATCCTAGTTTTACCTCTCAACCAACTGACTGATAACGAAAATCATTCACATAGGATCGATGAATCATGAAGCATAAAAACACATTGAAAAGGAGGATTACTGCCAAGGGACACAATACGAAAAAAAAGGTCTAAAGGTTAAGTTATAAAAAAAATCCCTTCCCTCACAACTGGACACGAAGAATATAAAGAATACTTAAACATTCATGCAACTCCCACATTTGCGCCACTTCCCAGTGGAGCTAGTGCGGAAGACATCGCATCTAGGGATGCCTATGGAACGTCTACTAACAAATCACAAAGCTCAGAGAATATCAAACACCTTCCATTGTTGACATAAGCTACAAATCTCTTCTATGTTGATTTACACGACTGGTTTGAAGAGGTAATTAGTGTAACATTAAACAGGGGGTTTATATATGTGTCAAGAAACTAGGAATATGTTCTGTTTTTAACACTGTGAAAGTGTCATCCACTAGTAGAAGGAATAAAATTCACATTTGAATCAGAAAATGAACAAGGACAATTAGCTATGTTAGACTGTAAAATAAAGCGAATAGAAGAAGGTAAACTACACACTAGTGTTTATAAGAAACCAACGCATTCTGCTAATAGATATTTAGACTTTAATTCATCACCTCATTCGTTAACTGTTAAGGCAGGCTTAGTTAAGTTAAGTGTCTAACAAACCGAGCAGTAGCACTAAGTAGTACAAGAAAAGACCTAAATGATGAAATAAAACAGACAGAAGAAGAAGAAGCGTTGGTGTCAAATAACTAACTAACTATCCTATAAAACTCATTAGGAAGATCGAAAAAAGCCAAAATAAAAATAATTATGAAACTAGTAATGATAACACAAATGAAGGAGAATATAAGTCATCTACTGTTATAACATATAAGGAGGGGGACATCTGAGACTCTACGTAGAATTCTAAATAAAGCAGGAATTAGGGTGGCATTTAAACCAACAAACTCACTCAGAGACAAGCTCTGTAGGCTAAAAGAACCGGTTGACCCAATTAAACAAAATAATATAATTTAAAAAATAACTTGTAATGACTGTCAGGTCAACTATATAGGTCAAATTAGTAGATCGGGGGTAATCAGATTGTCGGAACATAAGAATTTAGCCAAGGTAAGAATAGTTGACCCCGAGAAGATAAGTAATTTAGAAAAAAGCTCAGCAATTGCACTACATGCAATAACACACAACCACACCATAGCATGGTGGGAGAGGGTTAAGATTCTAAGAAGTAATCTATGTAGATGGAGAGGGAGATTGGTTACTGAATCCTGGTTCATTGAATCTACACTCAACACGTGCAACAGAAATGACTAAATAAAAATACCAGAAATATGGAAGATATTATTACCACTAGTCAAATCAGAAGAGGATAATAAATAATCTCAAAATTCTATTTCAATTCAAGCACATCACAACATTCTAACAACATTCGTCTTATTTCCCATCTCATTCCTTATTTGATCAATAACACGACAGAGCCTTCAGACAGTAAATGGTTGACAGAAGATACAATTATTTCACTCATGGAAGAGTCGAACAAGTTCACTTTATACTAAAGCCTGCGCTGATTTAGTCTTGAAGGACAACAAAAGCTTCGCAATCATAAATCACATCCAGTTCACATCACATATACAAATCACGGAATATACACATTGGGTCATAGGAGTTATTAAAAAGACAATTGCAGCGAGGAAAAAAATTTTCTTTTCGACGAAGTCATCATCTAGGCTGCACATTCGTGTATTTATATCAAGTGGATGGGAAATTTCCAGAATAATTTCCGGTTAAGGGTCAAATTAATAAAAAATTACAATTAGGAATTAAAATGACATCACAAACAGGGGGATGGGTAAAACTCAAACAAAGTAGCATAATAACTAAGAAGATTGACATTGTGCAATTAGGGGTTAGAAATGTAGAAATAACAAAATATACAGGATGTTTGGATAAGAAACTAGTGTGAT